AATTGCTAACTGCTACTCCAGGCTATGTTTTATTAATTTGCTTTTCTTTGACTATGAAACAAGCATTTAATTTATTTCATAAATCTTCTGTTTTAATTCTCCACACAATATGATCAGTACAATATTGTATGTAATGTTCAGTAGCATTCTCGAGGTGACTATTAAAACATCTTCCATGTGTCTTCCCAAATTTCTCTACATTTTGCTGTATATCTCACTTTAAGATTCTTGCATATCTACTTCACAAATACACATTTGAACAATGTGGTATTGTTACAGACTGTGTTTGAGTACATCTCAGTCAAAAGTAGTAATAATCTTTATCTGAAATAGTACAATTCACGGAGGTATCCACCATAGCATATTAAGCTATAGCATTTCAATTTATTTCCTTTTAATTTTTGATTTACAAGTCTTGCTGTAAATTTCATCATCACTGAATGGAAGTGGCATAGCTTGACATTGCAGGTTGCTCTCCAATATTCCATTTCTGTATTTGTCCATTTTTTATTTTAATTTCACATTTTACCTTATAATTTCCTATATTGTAAATTCTTGATCACAATATGAAGTAATAATGTAAGCTTCTATCAGTATGCTATGTCCTTTGAAACTGATCATTGTTTGCTACTCATATCATTAAAATTCTCCATTTTTAATTGTCTTGAGCAAGAATTGTCTTGCAGAAGTTAAATTCTCCTCTTGCATAGTCATGTTCCTTTCACTTCAGGTTTAATGAACATTTATGATCAAAGCTAATCAAATTCAGGGACATTCAGCTATATCTTTAAATTTAATATTAATTTTCCATATTAATTTTCTATACTAGTACATTTTCCCAAGTTTTAAACAAACTAATATTTGAGTGTTATTTTTAGAGTTCAAATCAAGTGTTATCATTTGATATGGTTTCAGAGCAAATAGCTGATACTATAGGTTCAATTTCTATCCTTCACTGAAAAGAAGGGTAGATCAGAAGCTGCTCCTCTGTTCACTTCATTGCTCTTTGATGTACTTTGCCAAATACTTGTAAGTTATTTTGTCCTAGGTAGCTTTACCAGGAAGCATGATGAGTTTTACTCTTCAAAATGTTCACTGTAACACTGAAATTTGCTTACAGCTCAGTTTAAACTCTGCTTGATCTGTGGACCAGATCCAATCCTAATTAAGGGGAGGTACTTCCATGGATTTACAGTACACAGTCCAATATAAATATCTATTCTAACACTTATATATGACCTGCTATTTTCAAGATTAATTTAATGCTTTTAAAATAAAAAATAATTTAGTCTATTCTATTATGTTTTACAATATTGATATCTTATGGCAGTCATTCTTTCTTGAAGTGCAAATACTTGAATATTACTTATATGATTCTAGTGGGGTTTTTGGGAATCTGCTGAAATGAAACTTCCAGTAACATTATTTTGTGAAACTATTATTATTACAATTTGAAACGGAATTATTTTAATTTAGTAATTTTGTACTACTGAGTTTAGCAACATAGCTTTATTGAAATTGAGATCATGCTTGGTAATGAAATATGAAATATCTTTTGGTCAGATTGCAATTAACAGCTTTGCTTTTTGTATTTCGTTCCAAATGTAAGTCAGTTTGCTTGCTATGTTTTGCTTTTTTTACATTAATTCTATTTTATCAGAATGCTGTCAAGTCTCTAGCTAAGACAAATGAATTCTGAGGTGAAAGTAGTATCAAAATTCAGATTGCAAACTAATGAACTTCCATATATTCACATTGCATATGCCAATCAGAAACAAAAGTCTATTCTTTTGCAACCCACACATTATTGAAGAGATATTTTAAACATTGCAGAAAAATGTTGAACTTTTGTGACCTGTTTTTAATATTACATATTTGATATTAACTATAGCAGTTTGCTTAGGAAATTATATTTTATGTATTCAGGTTAAAAAATATGACAGAATCAAACAATTGCACACCAAAACAACTATATCAACTCCTTATTTATGTCACAGGATTATTTTGTGCAAAATTTCAAGTACTATGAGTAGAATGTTCTTCAGTGCTTTAAAAACGGTATGTGTAGCAAACTGTATTTCAAAGTAATGAACAATAACAGAAGAGAATTCTTTTTAGGCACACTCAGTGAAGAACAGGGATGGTGAATGTGGCTGACAGGTCTCAGGAAATAAGTCCAACATAACCCAAGGCCCAAATGCAGCTCAGTTGGTCATTGATTAACATGGGAGAAAGTAGGACAAAGTCCCAAAAATTCATTCCTCATACTCGGATTTCCACAACTTATTGGATCTCTTCCCTTATACATGTAGATTAATCAATTTAAACTTTCTAATAGAAATTGTTGTAAAAAAAAATGGCAAAGCAACAGCACCACATATTAAATAGACCAAATCTCACACACACATATGCACCACAGACAAACACACACATACAAAAAAAGTATGATTCAGTAAAGTATTTCTGTGGCTGGAGCTGGTAGGGTTGCTGTGTTGCTCCTTGGTTTTCTGAAAAAATTTTTGCACACTTTTCTCAGAGTGCTGTATAGGCAAGAACTTAGAAAGAAATAATTTCATTACCAAAGACACTTGAGCTTATGCATTGTAAAACTTCTCTATTTTAAGTGTCTTCTGAATTTATGAGATACCAAATGTGGTTAGGAAAGTAATTTGAAGTAATGCTATAGCCTTAATGCAAAGGAAGTAGTAAAACTTGAGATAATATCAGAGGCGGTAGATCAGTGTGACATTCTATAATGAGATAAAAAGTTATGACGTATATGTGAATCACTAAATTTAATTTCTTATTTACATTGAAATATTTGTATTTGGATACTTTTGAACAGTAATATACCTTTAGCTGATGTTTAACAACTCCTTTTTATTTCCATTTCTCACAGGTTCTTTTTCTTTTAAGGCATATGTCTCCAAATATATTTCTACAATGTAAGTTGATTACATAGGTGGAGGGTTGTTAAATGACATAATAATACCTGTTTAATTGCTTAAGTAGAATATTTCTGTCTTCACTATTATACCAGGAGACTAGTACTGTATAATCCTATCTGGGCAACATGAGGGAAATCTGTAGGCCAGAGTAACTTCCTGAGATATTAAAGAAGGGATGTGTTTTATCAGAAAAGGCACAGTATTCTTCCTGTTCTTCAAGGGCAACAAATCCTCATTAGCCCAGTCTGTAACCTGATAAAATCTGAATGTGTTGTATTAGTCATCATTTTTCCAGTAGACTAGCTTTCATTTTAGATTGTGTACCTCATAAATTTTATAGTGAGCCTGAACAAATTCCCACAATTAATATAGCAGTTAATAATGGTACTTGAGGTTCAGTAACAGCCAGTATTATAGACATGAACCTGAAATTCTTCATTAAAAAAAAAAAAAAAAAAAGGTTGGCCTTGATCAGGCTGTATCTGAGTCTTGCCTGAAATCAATGAATATAGCTTTGGTCAGGGTTCTACTCGAGACCTTTAATAAAAATGGAATTAATAAAATATCTATAGAAATTGGCATTTGAGACCTAAACTTATTCTTCAAGAAGATTCTCATGGAAGTAAAAAATTGGAAGTAAAAAATCTTTATATGAATACTCAGTTTTATATAGTTTATTTTTTCTATGATAAGGAAAGTGTTAACACAGGCAAAATTAAAGGTGGGGGAATAGATACATAGCATTCAGTTATTTTTGTTACTGTTTTTTATAGCAAGAAAGTGAATCTTTCTCTTCTGGGAATCTCATGTATAATGTTTTGTTAGCGAAATAACTCCTCTGTGGCATTTAATAGAAATGATATTTAAGAACATGCAAACTTTGTTCAAAGATGAGTTACAGCTAATCAGCTGTTGTGCTAATTAGAAGTGCTACCAGAAATTTAGTAGAAAGGAACTGCATTAGTTCCCACCAATTTTTCTGAACATCCTGCCTTTTTATTCTCATAGGTGATATTTATAAAAGAAAATACAGCAATATTAATGTTTCTAAAAGTACTTAATATCTGAAGGCAGCTGTTTAATCTGCTCCTATTAATTTGTTTTTAAATTTCTATTTCTCCAATATTTCTGTACACATACTTGGAAATGACGCAGAAACATGGTTAGAGGATAGAAGTTATGTTTTACATTGTTATTTAAAAGACAGATAGAATTCTACCTGACCCCCCTGTCTTAGTACTGCTGTCATCTCTAAAAGTGCTTTAGACTAGAACCATATAAAATATCCTCACTAAATCTAACATGTTGTATAATGATGTGAGACTTACTGATATTTTTAAAAAACTCAGTCTATATTCATCACAGTTCACAGGAGCTGAAGGAGGTTATGCAGGCACCAGATTTTTGCTCCTGTTTAACTCACAGACCTGCCTTTCAACATGTCTCAGTGCTGTTATTTTCCTGTGTGCCATAAGGGGACAGAAATGGCAAAGCATCTGCATAGTTACAGCATTGCCTTCCTTTATACAGTGACCTATGATGCGGGGAAAAAAACCACTTTTTTCTGTTATTTTGGGAATAACTTTTTGACCTGTACCCATAATATTTATTGAGAGTAGAGGAGCAGTGAACTTCTAAATGAGCTATTACCTGAACATGCCTACCACACCTGAGATGCAGTCACACAAAATGCTCTTCAATTCTTAGTTCAGGATGATTTTCAGAACAACTCTGTAAAATGAAAGTCTTATAGTAATGCATAGATCACAGATAATTCCCCCTTAGCTGTAGGAGGTTAGTACAGTTTCTTCCATAGAAAAAAAATATTTGTTACATATAAAAAATTATCTGCCCAATCTTTTAGTATTGACAGAAACTTGGAGTTCAACAAACAAAGGGAAACAAACAATAAAAAGTAAAGTAGAGAGACATTTGCAGTAAGGAAAGGAATAGGTTCCTGTGATAGAGCAGAAGACACTTAGATATCAGTTCCCTCAGAGCTCAGTCCCACCATGTCACCAACAAAGACATTGTCGCAGCGCCAATACTGACCCGTGAGGAATGCCACTCATCGCCGCTCTCCGCTTGGACATTGGGTCCAAACTGGAGTGTGACCATCCAGCCAATTCCTAATTCACCAAGTGGTGCTCCCATCAGATAGATGCATGTCTCTCCAGTTCAGAGACAAGGCTGCCCCTTTATCAGCTGAAAGTGCACACAGGAAAAATGAAGCCTAGTAAAACGCATTGTGCACAAAGTCATTCTGATGAATTATTCATACAACTGATGATTCAATTAGGAGAACATTTTTCTTTCTCAGGTGTGAAATTCCATGCAAGTTGAAAAGGAGCCTTAAAAATAGTAATGGGTGCAATTATGTTCAGAATATGTCAGATAATCATGTCATTTTTCAATAATGAATTAATTAGATAGTAATACTTTTCATATGCACGCTCTAATTGCTTTCCTCTGAGGATCTCAGAATGATACAAAGAGCTAAATTAATTAGGCCTCTAAACAACCATTTGAGGAAATCATTGTCTTTTTCTACTCACTGTACTGAGGTACCAAGTGGTGAAATTACATTTCTGCTAACACACATTGAGTTAGAGGAAAAATCGAAGTATGGATTTTTTTTTTATGTTACAACAGAAGGTGTTTTCATTTATAGTGTTTATTTAAAAATAGGAAATCATGAATGCTTATGTATTCAGTCCCTATTACAAAAAAGAAAATGCACCTCTCCTAAAAAAAAAAAAAAAAAAACCAACAAAAACAAAAAAAAAAAAAAAAAGGCTGTATTGAACCATGTACAAGAAAGATAACTTTTAGGCTTCAAGCAAACTTTCTAACCTAAGCAACCCTGAAAGAAATAATCACAGAGCACAGGTTTATTCTTAGCAGAAGTCACTAAGTACTTTCTCTCATCTATAAAATGCATTCATGTAGTAATTTCTGATGACCATTGCATAAAAAGAAATAGCCATTATTTATGTGATCTTTTTCCTGTCATCTTGGCATGTATCCAAATACTGATGACCTTGAAAGTACAGCTTACTAATTTTAATATGATGAAAATGAAATAAAAATTCAGCAGTCTGTTATAGAACTGATTATCAAGTACATGATGGTCATATATCCTTTAATCATAAGGTATATATTATATATATATAAGGTATATATATATATATATATATATATATATATATTTCTTAATATTATTAATAACATCCAAGCTGTAAGTTTTCAATTACAGTTTCTCAAATCTGTAGTAATTCACCCATTTAGACATTAGTAAGGTAAACACCCAGTGATACTAAAAGCTGAAAGCTGGGTCCACAATCAGTGCTTTGCAGGATGACTAATTAAGAGAGCTTATTTCCTAATTAATAGATTCTTCTTGGATAATGTCCCTGCTTGACATATTATTCTAACATGATTTTTATCAGTTTTTCACCAAGATCAGCCATCCTCAAAGAGCTCAATGAGCTTTTCATTCTGATACTTTATATTTCTGTTCTGTTATTCTTGTTTACCTGCATTTGACCTCTGGGACTGTTATGGTGTGTATATATCTTAAATATAAGTCTTGATGAAAGAATCATTGACTATACAAAAGAATTCTGTTTTTTATAGTAGAGCTTTTCCAGTTACTGGAATCTACTGAATGTCTTTAAAAAGAGAGACCTAGAATAAAAACACACAGATCTCAGTTTTTCAATCTGAGTAAGTGTAGCAGCATAACAAAGAAAATTTATGAATAGACTTCTTTAGACAGAACACCTAGACAAGTGCTAAATTTTTAGGTGTGTCATGAATATGAAAAACTATATAGATTCTCCTGTCTGAGAATTCATATTCTGTTCAATGCTATTGTGTTTATTATCTGTATTATAAGACATTCTTGTTTGGAAGAAAGCCATAATGGCAGGAATGCTGGATACTTCAAAGTAGCTTCAATGTTTAAGTACAGAAGGTTCTCAAAACATAAAGGTTATTTTCTACTCTCTCAGTAATTTCTTCCAACACTTAAAATGGTAGTTGAAAGTACAAGTAGAACTTAAAGAAATTCATAAAATCTAGGCTGCCCTAGTGTTTTTTCAGGAAACACCAATTATTAGCATGCTGCACAAACCCAGATGGCTAAGAGTGATGTTTTAGGTTTACAGCTAGTAATTTTTTCATCATAGTTGATAATTGGCTATGTTGGTTTTTTTCATGGAGAATAAATCCAAGTGTGTCTTCAGCTATTTTTAAGAGTTTCAATTAACCACAATTAATTTTCCATTTAAATGTCCAAGAGAACTGAAATAGTCTACAATACTATAAACCCATTCAACAGCTTAATTATGCAGTTTTTTCTCTAGTTAGATTTGCTATTTTTATTTCATAGTGTCATTCTTAGGGTGGGAAAATACTTGCATATCTTTAATTCTAAAACAACAAAAAAGTATAGCAAAAGCCAGTGAAAGAACAAAAATACTCCAGTCAAGAAGGATTTGGATTTTCAAACAAAATTAATTATATATATATTAAAGTATATTTTAAAAGAAAATTTGAAGCATAATAGAATTTGGTGTGGTTGTAGAAGTCACTTTCCTTACCACTTGTCTCAGTGGAATCACAAACTGGCACACTTCCTCTTTGCTTGCACTTGAGACAAAGGATATGGGCTGGATGAATTCACACAAACCCTGACTATGTTCTCTCATCAAAGTTCTGAGGAAAGGACTGGTGAGTACTTATTCCAGACACAGAAGTGGGAAGGTGAAATAAGTAAAACTTAGGCAATAGCTGGTGTTATGTATGTTTTATCCAATTAAAAAAAATATATGGATATACAAGTTTAGAAGGAAGTATTTAAAAAGTGACAAACAGAAAACCTTGGTAATGAATCACCTACTGAAGGTCGTTAAAATCACACTAAAACCCCAGTAAAGGGCACAAAGAATAACAAAAATGCAATTAATTTAAGCTTTATTCTCCCATAATTACACTTTCAAGATGAAATGCACTTATGAGGGGGTCAAGATATTTTATTTGAAGAATGCAGATTTCTGCCACTGAAACTATTTTAAGGGAGGTCAGACTGGACATCTTAAATATTAACAAAATACACAATTGCCTGGAAATGAACAAAAAAGGTTGAAATTCATAGCATTAAGCAATTTTAAAAGGCTTTCAGCAGAAATGCTTTCTTTTTTTTCCTACAGTGATGAATTTCATTTGCATCCATTGAATTTGCAACAAAGATTGAAAGGAAAAATACAGGCAAAGGAAAAGATGGATTCAGAATTAAACTAACTCTCAGTTCTTATGCTCCCACTGTCATGATTCATTTGAATCTTTAAAGGGGAACCCATTGAACTGGCCTGAGTAAGTTTTTCTAAATGAATGACTGGGTTCTGTTAATAAAGGAAAGGGCAACCTGAGACTTGGTTTGAAGCTGGGGAATGAATGAACTTCAGAAGAGTCAATCTCATTTTTCCCTTGGTCTTCAGAATTTGTAACATTATATATTTGAAATGGAGACACAAGAAAAAGATGCCATAGTGTTACAAAAATGTTCCCTTGAACTTACAATTTAATGATTCACTTCTAAATAGATAGCAGGAAAAAAAAAACTACCCTAAAATGATATCTTGCATTTTATCACATTTTAAAAGATCAGTATTTCTTCCACAATTATATTACTTTACAGTACAACAGTAAGGTGGCAGAAGAAAGACATTTAAACTAGAAGTTCCTAGAAACCATGTAGTTTCTATAAAATATTGGTAATTTCGTAGGCTTAATTGCTTTCCACTGATACAAGTGAAATGACTGTGCGCCAAAGTGAATGGGCAGGCAGTCAATAAAGGACAGGAATGCCCAATCACCACAGGGGACACATTTCCTAAAGCACAACTGTTCCCTTCTCTGACTTCTCCAGTCCTGATTCCCAAGGGAACATTTATGAAATACTTCCAAAACACAAACCTGAGAAATAAAGCTTTTATACCTCTCGAATCTAGAAATTTTGACTTCCATAGAATTAAAGTCTGTTTTCATATTCCAATACAATTCTTTCTCTGATTCATCTCTATTTTACAAAATCAGAAATATTTTTTCTCACTTTTCCAAGTGAGATAATGATGTATGTCCTTGATATTGTGCTCCTCTCTTCTAGTATTGCTCTTCAATCCTTCCTATCCCAATATCCAGCACAGGCATTATCTAACAACAAGCTAGGAATGGCTGGCATCTGATCCTGTGCAGTCTGGATTTTTCTCATTTTGCAGAAATGAATGCGATTGTATGCATTTGTTTTCTTCTATTGCATTTCTAAAATCTTTTCTCAGATTCACCAAGTCCATGTAGAAGAAGTCTCAAAGGCATTCACTTTTGGGCATGAGCAGTGACAGACAATTTTGAGTACTTAGTTTAAGCCCAGATTTTTTTATTATTATTTTTTTTATTTGCAACACAGCTTGTTAGTCTCAAAAAATTTATAGCACAACACGAAGGAGACCGAGCTGCAATTGAAAAATGGAAGCAAGACAACGTAAAATAAATTTCCTGGTTTCACAGGCAGTTTCATATAACTATGCCTCTGAGACCCAGTTGTGTCATGAATTTAAAGTTTTTCTGGTACTTTGTTTTTTTGCTTGGTTTTTTGTTTTGTTTTATTTTGTTTTTTGCTTTTCTCTAGATACATGCCTTCCTGAGAGTGGTTATTACTGTTCATGGTGCATATTATATACATCCTTCATCAGCTTCTGCACAGTGTCTGTCTGGAATTCAGGCTCATTCAAATCAGATAGCTGAGAATTTCATTTGACAAAGTTTTGTTTAAATGACTGTATACACAATTGGTCCAGAAGAGATTGACAATACTTTCTTTTTTTCTAGCTGCCCATACCTAAATTACATTGTGCATTTTTGGTTTTTTATAGGACAACCTGAGTATTCCTTAATATCCTATAAACAGAATTATCCTGTAGTATGTCAGGCTGTGTGGAAGCAGAAGGAGGAAGACAGGATATGACTGAAAAAAATTAAATAATATTTTTTTTAATTATAAAATATATTAAAATAATAAAGTAAAGAAAATGAGAATAGGAGTATAAATAAAGATAATAAAAAACTTCTATCTGGAGTGAGAGATAATCATCATGATTCCATGATGTATGCATGAAGCCAGCTACAATTTCTACGCAAATCATTGCATCTTTCA